CAAACTAAAGCATTCGTGCGAGCGAACCTCGTGTTAAAAAAGCAGACTTGATGTTGGTCTGGACTGCGCCCGAGATTTGTTTCCTTAGACCAAGTCTCACTGCCGTTGCCCGGGCAGCAAGCCGTGCGTCACCTAGTTCACAGCACCCAACTCTGGCTCAACGATCTCCTGCCAGCCTCCCGAGACGGGACCCAGCATCCCCACCATGCCCGCCTTACATTTGTTTTCTATAATTTTAATGCCATTCATTCTCTATTTTATAACGACAGGACTCGCTCTTGCACAGCGGTCCAACTCTACCTCGACGATCTCCCCTCGCCTCCCAGAGTGCTAGGATACAGGCATGACCACTGCGCTGGTTTTTTTGTTCCTTTTTATTGTGATACAATTCACTATCACGAAACTAGCCGTTTAAATTCAATTTCAGTGATTTTAGTATTCACGGTTAATCCAACAACCCCACCATCTAATCAAAATCATCATCAACCCAAAAAGAAATCTCATACCCATGCATCACCCATTTTCCCCTCCTCCCAACCCGAAATCATTGATGCTACTTCCTGTCTCCATATTTGCCTATTCTGACCAGTCCCATATCCAATGAACGCACATATGTGGTCATTTGCGGTCCTCTCCTTACCTGTTTTCAAGTTCAACCCCAGGTTGTTAGCAAATGTTCACTTTCATTCCTTTTGATGCTGATTCCACCATATGCCAATCACATGTTCATCCCATTCATCATAAGGCAACATACATCCTCCCCTTTTCTTTTGTATTGAATAATGCTGATATGAAACATTTATGACAAGTTCTGCCATATTTATTTCTAATAAACACCTAGAAGTGGAATGCTGGGTCCCCACGTGAACTCCTGTGTACCTTTTTGAGGAACCCCCCAAACTAGCCAAAGGGTTGCGCATTTACATCCCACCAGCAACGTATAGAGTTCCAATGTTCCTACATCTTTCTACCGCTATTATTTCTGATTTGATAACACAGCCATCCAAGTGGGTATGTCATTGCATTTCTTAATACAATTTAATTCGAGCTCTTTTCATTGGTGCTTATGGGCCATAAATAACATTTCTTAAGAAATGTCTATCAAAACCCTCTCATTTAAAACATGTTTTATTGTTGAGTTGTAAGGTTTCTGTTATAATCTGATTAAGCCTGATCTCATATGATCTACAAATATTCTCTCATCTGGGCTCCTATTTCTGTACTTTTCTTCTTTTTTTTATTATTATTAGTTGTTAGACTGAGTCCTCGCTATGCCCCAGGCTAGATGAGTGCCTGGCTCACCTAGCTCACATCAACCCAATCCCTGGGCTCAAGCCCCTGCTTCACCTCCGAGAACGACTACAGCATGTGCCACCATGGCCAGCAATTTTCTATATATAAGTGCCAATATTCTTCATATTGAAATGGTCTGTTCTTGCTCAGGTTTTTCGAACCCGAACCTCGAGCACCTCCGCTCGCCGCCCAGATCTAGATGACACGGAGCCACCGCCGGCCTGTCACCTTTCTGATAGTGCCTTGAACTCAGACTTGTCCAATGTATCTATTTTTCTTTTGTTTCTTTGTTACACCAAAAATCATTGCCTGATCCAAGGCACAAAGATTTTCATTCTAAAAGCCATGGGATGCTCCACGCTGATTCAAATCCCACAGACTATCACAAGGTCTGAGCAATATTTCTTCAAGACCAAATGGAATATTCACTGCCTCGATGGATTAGTCATCAAACCCGACCCATCTGAAAACTGGAGTTTCCAAGTTTTGTCCGGCTCGCCAGTGGGGTGGGCTCTTTTCCTTTCGGTTTGAGAAGCTCTGAATTCAACGGATAAACTCAAATCCAGATAACAAAACCAGGTAACGAGCTTTCAACATACGCCATTCGCTCATCTAAACGCACTAAGTAACACCTTTGTCGGAGCTCCGATAAAAAAGCTTGTCCGTGGCCACTTCTGTAATGATTCCACACAGGACACAAAAACAAATCACAACCATGGAACAATGCAGTGTTCGAACTGCCAGTCAGAATAAACTCTTAAATAAATTTATAGCAAGAGCAGTCTGACCTTCTGGGCTTGTTTATTTGAAATTGTTGGTGCTTTAAAAAACCCACTTTCAGATCCAAACTCCAAAAATAATACTGGTCATCATGTCTCTTCTTTAAATGGCCCTCTGGCCTGTCCCGTCAGAAAATGAAGGTACCACGGCCGCCCAGACCTCATTAATGATCCCTTTGGCCAAGCTCGCCAGCCGCTGCGCCCACCAAGGACATTGCCATGGCCCTCGCATGGACCGGAGGATCTGTGACGCCACTCTGCAAAGCTAAACGAGTCCAAGACCAGCCGGGAGAAAGGGCCACAGCAGAGGCCGTCCCGTCCGCTCAGCAGAAGGGTCCTGCAAACACTGCAACTCGTGCTCTCCTTGAAGTTCTGTGTTCGGTGATTCAGAAAACATGGATGGATCTGTTATCACCCATCACAATCGCCCTTCCAATACGCCTCTCCCTTACTGTGTACAGCTCTGTGAGCACCTGACAGAACAATACGATTCTTGCCCATGAAGGTGCAGTCTGTAGACCAGCCGTTCTGTCATTAGTTCAGCAGATACTTATCTGAAATGAGGTGACTAATTTTACATTCCTTTGCCAACAAATTTCGAAGCATTTCTTCCTTTTGCACCTTGCCACATGTTATGTTTTGGTCCTTTTTAATATGCCCATGTGACTGGTGTAAGAATGCCATGGCGGTTTAAATTTGCATTTCTCTGAGATAGAAAGTTGAAACATTTGATATACTCGTTGGCCATTATTCTTTTTGAAAAAGTTTCATCCAAATGAGCCGCACTTTTTAATGTGTACTGTATTTGGGTGATCTTTTAGCCTGTTGAGTCCTGTAAATCGAATTATCCCCTTGATGTATAATTAAAATACTTTCTCCCATCCAGTTTTCTGTTCACAAGATATTCCTTGATACAAAACTTTAGTTCATTAAGTCCAATTTGTCTATTCCACAATCAACATGAAATTAAATGGCTTAAAGGTTAAATATTTCAATAAAAGTAAGGAAAAAAAGCCAAGACCCAACATAGCTTTACAAAAAGCAGTTTAAATATAAAGTACAATAATTAAAAGGAGATGAAAAAAATATACTATCTAACAGAATCAAAGAAATCTGGAAGGTTATACAATAGCAGATTCAAGCAAGAATATTTCCAGGATAAAGTCATCTTATAGATGATAAACATCAATAATCAATAGCTGTAACAATTAAGTGTTATTAACTAATACATAGCTTCAAAATATATAAAAGAAGAACTGACTTTTGAAATCATTATCTGCTAACCTTCTCTTTCTTCTTTCTTCTCCCTCCTTCCTCTCTTCTTCCTTCTTCTCTCTTCCTTCCTCGTCCTTCCTCCTTCTTCTCTCTCTTCTTCTTTCTTCCTCTTTCTCCTTCTCTCTCTTTCTTCTCTTTTCCTTCTTCTCCCTTTTTCCTCTTCTTTCTTTCTCTTCCTCTTCCTTTCTCTTCCTCTTCTCCCTTCTTTACACATGAAGAAAACCCCAAGCCAGGAAATAAAAATCACAAATTATACAGCAAAAAGTCTCCAACTCTATCTACAGAATCTTCCTCTACGCACTCCACTGACTTGAACAATACCCATGTTTTATTGACGTATAACTACCTAAATGAAAGAATTAAATTCCAGTAATAGCACCTGATGAAAAAAAACAAAGGCGACCTAGACACATCTTCATTAATCTCGATGTTGATGCATCATCCACACAGAAGTCAAACAAAAGTTCAAAAAAAGGTTAGAAATTGTGCTGGCAGTTGCTTCAGAATCTAATGTCACTAAACTGAGTCTAATAGAACTTGAGAATAAACTCCTGGGCTCAAGCGATCCTCCTGCCTCAGCCTCCCGAGTAGCTGGGACTACAGGCATGTGCCACCACGCCCGGCTAATTACTGTTTTCTATATATTTTTAGTTTTTGAGCTAATTTCTTTCTGTTATTAGTAAAGACGGGGGTCTCGCTCTTGCTCAGGCTGGTTTCGAACCCCTGACCTTGAGCGATCCTCCCTCCTCGGCCTCCCAGAGTGCTAGGATGACAGGCGTGAGCCACCGCGCCCAGCCTTACAGTGACTTTCAATCTTGGTGCTCATCCAAAACTGTGAATGCAGAAGATGAAATTCAAACCAGGTGTGATTAGAACTCAACTAAGCAGTCAGCCTGCTGATTCCTTGCTTTGGGGGAAGACAGGGTCGAAAAATGATTGTGGGAGTCTGAGCCCCCTCTGTCCCTTCTGCCTGGCTTTGCCCAGCCCCCAAACGCACACACACACACGGAGGGGAATGCCCTCACCATCTTTCACCCTTCCTGCGTCCTTTTACTCAGGGTGACATCTGTCTCTTGTCCCTCCTCCCTGCAGCAGGTCGGGGTCTTAATGGAGAGAAAGTGGTTCCAGCGATTGCATCAGCAGAGAGACTTCTGCCTGGGCAGGGCAAGCGAGGAGTAAGGTTAGCAGGGAGAAAAGCCACCATTCTGAAGCAAACTCGTGTTTTTCACATTAAAAACAGCCTCTCTCTCTCTATTTTTTTTTTTTCTTTTTGGAAAAGGAACAGCCAAGGGGCGAGTTGCAGAAGAGAGTGTTCGAGGAGGCCGTTGAACTCGGCTGGCCGTGTTTCCCCAAGTGCAAGACAGTGGTGGAAGCAGTGACATCTGGACGGGGGAAGGCCACTTTGAAATCGGAACACACTAGAACATGGCTTCTTTAAACTTCGCTTGTGTCTGAATGATGGGTGAGAGCCCGGGAGGGATGTGTTTTTCAGGCTTTTGGAAGTGGACGGAGAAGACTCCCGACAGTTGGAGGCGGTTTGGAGCTGAGGGTGGGGGGCCTCGTGTGGACGGGGGACAGGGTGGGGTTGAGCAACTGTTTACGGTCACTTTGGGACCCGCCCGCATCTCTCTCTTCTTCCACATTCAGCAGCCTCAGGGTCCTCGGGAATGGGGACAGCTCAGCCGGCTTTGCGGAGGATTTGTGGATTTCTGGTTTGGAGGCCCAGGGGGTTAGAGGCCCAGGTGAGGAGCTTCATGGGAGGGAGCGGCTGCAGTCCTGCTCGGGGTGGGGGACCTTCCAGCTGGGGTGGCTCAAGGTTGGCCTTTGGGTTCCACAGCAGGGAATGAGGGCCATGAAGGACAGAGCACGATCGATCGCAGTGACCCTCTGCTCTCCTGCCCTGGCACAGAGACTCCACGAGGCTGGGGCTGCCCACACGTCTGCGTCCTAGTGCCCACATGCCTTGGTCCAAAGGGGCCACCCCAAATTCCCCTGCTGGGGGCTCCCGGACCCCCTCCCCCTCACACCTGCACCCAGCTTCCGCTTGCTCTTGCATTTGTCCTGCCAGTTTGTGTCCTTTGGAAGGAAGGAAGGAAGGAAGCCCGCAGAGGGTGGGAGCAAGAGCTTGGGTTCTGGAGTCAGACTGGGCTCTCCTGCCATTATTAGCTCTGTGACCCTGGGCAGGTCACTTCACTTCCCTTGCGCTTCAATGTCGTATCTTCCCGGTCAGGGACATGGTCAATAGATGCTTACTAAATATTTGCTGAATGAATCCCTACCTCTTGGAATTATTGCAAGAGTTACATAAGATAGGCCGGGTGAGGTGGCTCATGCCTGTAATCCTAGCACTCTGGGAGGCCGAGGCAGGAGGATTGCTCAAGGTCAGGAGTTCGAGACCAGCCTGAGCAAGAGTGAGACTCCCGTCTCTACCAAAAATAGAAATAAATTAATTGACCAACTAAAAATATATATACAAAAAAAAAAAATGAGCCGGGCATGGTGGCGCATGCCTATAGTCCCAGCTACTCGGGAGGCTGAGGCAGGAGGATCGCTTGAGCCCAGGACTTTGAGGTTGCTGTGAGCTAGGCCTACGCCACGGCACTTTAGCCCGGGCAACAGAGTGAGACTGTAAAAAAAAAAAAAAAGAATTACATAAAATAATGGAAAACACCAGCTCAGTGCCTGGCATACAGTCAGGGCCCAATAATTGCTGCTATTATACAATAATATGCAAAGTATAGTAACATGGCATATAATAAATACTATGAAGAAATAAGACTCACTTAGAAAATAATAATATCTGATGCATATCTAATGCTTACCGTGTGCCAGGTATTATTTTAAGTGCTCCGTATGTATTAAGTAATTCGTTCCTTTCAGCGACCCTATGAAGTAGGTCTGGTATTAACCCCAGTAAACTGAGGCATGAGCTGTTAAGTGATTTGTCCAATTTCCCACAGCGAGGCGGTGGCTCGGCTGCAATTGGAGCGAGGCAATCCGGCGCAGAGTCCTGCTTTTATGTCAAGTGGCAGGTAAGTGTTTCTGAGGGCTGCGAGGGGCTTTGCGAGGAGCGGTGACCACCACGAAGTATGGGGTCCACTGCAGACATCCCAGAAGCTTCTAGAAGAGTTGGGCAGAACAGACACGGACAGACAGCCCACCACGTCCTGGAGGCGTTTTGAAAACTCCCCCAGGTGATTCCAATTTGCAGCCAGGTCCGAGAATGAGCGTCACACGCTGGTGTCCCTCAAACTTAAATGTGCATTCGTGCGAGCTGAAGCTCTTGTTGAAAATGCAGACGTTGATGTTGTGGGTCTGGACTTGCGGCCTGAGATTTTTTTCCTTTTTAGACAGAGTCTCACTCCGTTGCCCGGGCTACAGAGCCGTGGCGTCAGCCTAGCTCACAGCAACCTCCAACTCCTGGGCTCAAGCGATCCTCCTGCCTCAGCCTCCCGAGTAGCTGGGACTCCAGGCATGCACCACCATGCCCGGCTAATTTTTTCTATATATTTTTAGTTGGCCAATTCATTTCTTTCTATTTTTAGTAGAGACAGGGACTCGCTCTTGCACAGGCTGGTCTCGAACTCCTGACCTCGATCGATCCTCCCACCTCGGCCTCCCAGAGTGCTAGGATTACAGGCATGAGCCACTGCGCCTGGTTTTGTTTTTTTTTTTCCTTTTTTATTGTGATACAATTCACTTATCATGAAATCTAGCCTTTTAAAGTGTTCAATTCAGTGACTTTTAGTATATTCACGAGGTTATCCAACATCACCACCATCTAATTCTAGAACATCATCATCACCCCAAAAAGAAATCTCATACCCATTGGCAGTCACTCCCCATTTCCCCCTCCTCCCAACCCGAATCATTGATCTACTTCCTGTCTCTATGGATTTGCCTATTCTGGACATTCCATACCAATGAAATCGCACAGTATGTGGTCATTTGTGCGTGGCTCCTCTCCCTTAGCCTGTTTTCAAGGTTCACCCAGGTTGTAGCAAATGTTGGCACTTCATTCCTTTTGATGGCTGATTCCACCATATGCAATCCCATGTTCATCCATTCATCAGTAGATGGGCACATGAGCAGTCCTCCCCTTTTTTCTTTTTGGCTATTGGGAATAATGCTGATATGAACATTTATGTACAAGGTTTTGCATGGCCATATGTTTTCAATTTTCTTAGATAAACACCTAGAAGTGGAATTGCTGGGTCACGTGGTAACTCTGTTTACCTTTTTTGAGGAACCCCCAAACTGATTTCCAAAGGGGTTGCGCCATTTTACATTCCCACCAGCAACGTATGAGAGTTCCAATGTTTCCACATCATTTCTACCTCCTATTATTGTCTGATGTTGGATAACAGCCATCCAAGTGGGTATGGTTTCGATTTGCATTTCCTTAATGACTAATTATGTCGAGCTTCTTTTCATGTGCTTATTGGGCCATAAATATACATCTTTTTTAGAGAAATGTCTATTCAAATCTCTTGCTCATTTAAAATAGTTTTTTTTTTATTGTTGAGTTGTAAGTGTTCTTTATATATTCTGGATAAGAGCTCCTGATCTGCTATATGATCTACAAATATTTGCTCCCATCTGGGGGCTCCTATTTCTGTTCACTTTCTTTCTTTCTTTTTTTTATTATTTATTTATTTGTTTGTTTTGAGACAGAGTCTCGCTTTATTGCCCAGGCTAGAGTGAGTGCCGTGGCGTCAGCCTAGCTCACAGCAACCTCAATCTCCTGGGCTCAAGCGATCCTCCTGCTTCAGCCTCCCGAGTAGCTGGGACTACAGGCATGTGCCACCATGTCCAGCTAATTTTTTCTATATATATTAGTTGGCCAATTAATTTCTTTCTATATTTGGTAGAGATGGGTCTCGTTCTTGCTCAGGTTGGTTTCGAACTCCTGACCTCGAGCAATCTGCCCGCCTCGGCCTCCCAGAGTGCTAGGGTGACAGGCGTGAGTCACCGCGCCCGGCCTGTATTCACTTTCTTGATAGTGTCCTTTGAACCTCAGACTTGATGCCCAATGTATCTATTTTTCCTTTTGTTGTTTGTGCTTTTGGTGTTACATCCAAGAAATCATTGCTTGATCCAAGGGCACAAAGATTTTTCATTTCTAAAAGCTCCCATGGGATGCTGTCACTGCTGATTCAAGATCCACAGACTGAGCAGCAAGGTGCTGGAGCAATTATTTTCTTTTCAATGACCTAATGGAATAGTTGCAGCTGGCTTCTCGGATGGGTTAGTCATCAACTCCGACCCAGTCTGAATCAAACTGGAGTTTTCCTAAGTTTGTCGGGGCTCTGCCAGGTGGGGGTGGGCTGCTTTTCCTTTTCGGGGTTGGGGGGAAGCTCTGAATTTCAGAGCTTGGATCAACTCAAATCCAGTACTACAAAATCCAGGTAACTGATGCTTTCAACATACTGCCATTCGGTCATCTAAACTGCAGCTTGAATGAACGAGCCTTTGTCTGGAGCTCCGATTATAGAGAGAGCTTTGTCCTGGTGGCACTTGCTGGAATGGGATTCCAGACACAGGACACAAAAACAAATCACAGACCATGTGAACAATGCAACGCCGTGGTTCTCTGAGACGTGGCCCAGTTTCAGAGAGTAATACTCTCTTAAATTAGAAGTTTATTAGCAGGAGGGGCAGTCTGACCTTCTGGGCTTTGTTTTATTTGTTTAAATTTGGTTGGTGCTTTAATGAAAGCTCCACTTTCAGATCCAAAGCTCCAAAAATAATACTGGGTCATCGATGTGTCTCTCTTTAGGAGATGGTCCTCCTTCTGGGCCCTGTCCCCTCACGGATTAAATGAAGGTGACTCCACTGCCTGCCCAGACGCCTCATTAAGGATCCCTTTGGCCAAGGGCTCGGCCAGCCTGGCTGCTGCCGACCAGAAGGACATTGGCCATGGACGCTCTCTGGGAGTGGGAGGTGGGAGTCTGTGACGGCCACTTTCCTGGCAAAGCTAGAACGAGTCCAAGTCCAGGGCTCTGGGGAGACAGGGCCACAGCAGGTGAGGCCGGTTCCCCACCGGTCCCCGCTCAGCCAGAACGGTCCCTGCAGAAGTCACTGCAGACTCCGCTGCTTCTCCTTGGAAGGTTTGCTGTGTTCGGTGAGTTCAGGAAGAAGCATGGATGGATTCGTGGATTCACCCGTCACTAATTCGCCCCTTCTCATACGTCTGCTGCGTCCTTACTGTGTACAGGGCTCTGTGCGTGTCCCTGGACAGATTACAACGATTGTCTTTGCCCCATGAAGTGTGCAGTCTGGTGGAGACAGCCGTTCTGATTCATTAGTTCAGCAGATACTTATTGAATAGAGGTTGTACTAATTTACATTCCTGCCAACAATGTATGAGCATTTTCTTTCCTTTGCATCCTTGCCAACATTGGTTATTTTTGGTCTTTTTAATAATGCTATTGTGACTGGTGTAAGATGATGTCTCATGGCGGTTTCAATTTGCATTTCTCTGATGATTAGTAACGTTGAACATTTTTGGATATACTCGTTGGCCATTTATTTGTCTTTTTTTTTGAAAAATGTCTGTTCATGTCCATAGCCCACTTTTTAATGGGATTACTTGTTATTTGTTGGGTGATTCTTTTTTAGCTGTTTGAGTTCCTTGTAAATTCTGGATATTAGTCCCCTGTTGGATGTATAATTTGCAAATACTTTCTCCCATTCTTCAGGTTTTCTGTTCACAATGATTATTTCCTTGGATGTACAGAAGCTTTTTAGTTCCATTAAGTCCAATTTGTCTATTTTCCAACAATCACATTAGATGTAAATGGCTTAAATGGTTTAAATATTTCAATTAAAAGGTAGAGGGGAAAAAAGCAAGACCCAACTATATGCTGTTTACAAAAAATGCAGTTTAAATATAAAGTACAAATAAGTTAAAAGGAAAAAGATGAAAAAAGATATACTATGCTAACATGAATCAAAGGAAATCTGGAATGGTTATACTAATAGCAGATTTCAGAGCAAGGAATATTTCCAGGGATAAAGTCATCTTATAATGATAATACAGTCAATTCATCAATAGGCTGTAACAATTTTAAGTGTTTATTTACTTAATACTATAGCTTCAAAATACTAAAAGAAGAAGCTGGAGGGGACTTTTGAAATCATTTATCTTGTCTAACCTTTCTCTTTTTCTTTCTTCCTTCTCTCTCCCTCCCTTCCTCTCTCTTTCCCTTCCTTCCTTCCTTCCTTCCTTCCTTCCTTCCTTCCTTCCTTCCTTCCTCTTCCTTCTTTCCTTCCTTCCTTTCGTGTTCTTTCTTTCTTTCTTTCTTTCTTTCTTTCTTTCTTCTTCCTCTTCCTTTTTCTCCTTCTCTTCCTCTTCTTTTACACATGAAGAAACCAAGGCCAGGGACATAAAATAATCACAGAGATATATATCTAGTGAGAAACAGGTCTTCCAACTTCTTATCTAGAATCTTTCCCTCTTCACTGCACTCCACTGAGCTTGAACAAACATTGTTTTGACGTATCAACAACTGTTAAAGTGAAGGAATTAATGATGCATTAAATAAATAGGCCCCTGGATGAAAAACAGAAGTGTGACCTAGACACTATTCTTCATCTGCTGATGGTTGATTGGCATCAGCCAGCACAGAAGCCAAACAAAAGGTTGAAAAGAAAATGGTTTGGGGAGAAATTGTGGCTTGGGCATTGCTCATTGAATTTCTATTGTCAGGAGAAGTCTGGGAGTCTTGGAATAGGAATCCTTTGCAGAAGTCATTGTATCTCCCTGGCACTTGGGAGGCAAGATTGCTTAAGTAAAAGACTCTTTGAAATGACTATTCTGACGAGCATGCTCTGAAACCCTGGCTGCCACAGGTCGCTCCCTGCCTGGGCTATCAATCTATGTGGCCAATGCCCCAATTCTATCAACTGGCTCATGAATTCACATGGAAATCAATTACCAACTAAGCAAGAGCTATGGGAGTCTCTGAGTGCTGACCCGTGCACTGGGATGAAGGCAATCAAGCATGAGGTCATCTGGGGTCAAGCCCATGGCTTTGGATAACCATTTGTCACTTGCAATTGGGCAGGGAAGCATAAACATAGGAGGCAGTGAGTGAAGTTAACTGATTATACACAACTGTGGCCATAGCTTGGCCCGATCATGCAGGGCAAGATAGAGGCAATTAGAGGGCAAAAGTGTGTTGGAAAACACAGCTTTCCCCAGCTCAGAAATGGAGCAGTCAGTGCTGGAGGGACATAAGTAGGAGTTAGAGCAGCCCAGCCTTCAATTTGGAGGCGTGGCACATGGGCTTGGAGACGAGTGGAAGGGAAATTTTAAGGCTCCCAACAAACCACCAAGAGCTGCGTTATGTCACTCTGAGATAACACCATGACAGTCAAGAGTCAAAAACAGAAGCCTATAAAAAAATTCTTCTCCACTAAGTGGTAACTCAGGGATAATGCAATCCTGAGCTCCCTGGGAGAGAGCTTGGCTGCTGGATCAATCAGATTGGCTTAATAAAAAATAAAATAAAACAGCAAAAAAAAAAAAAATCAGATTGGCTTAGCTCTCTCATTTATTGTTATAAAGGCAGGAGGAGGGGAGAAAAATCCCAACCAAAATGCCAAAATGAGAGGCCTGAAGACTTTAGAGTCAAACAGATACGAGTTCCAATCTCATTGCGACCATTAGACAGTGTGACTCGGATAGATCCAATTAATCAATTTTTCTGAGCCTCAGTTTCCCCAATCATAAGAGGAGGTTGCTAACATGTACCTTACAGGACAGTGATGGGGATTAGGAACAGTGTGTGTCTGTAAGTCCCCTCCCCTGTAGCAGGGGTGGGTAAAATGGCCGTCATCATTATCTCTTGGATGACTTTGGACACCTGCCTTCTTTCTTTGCCTTTATTTTTTTAAAGCTCGAGGTAGAACAATCAGCAGCATCATCCTCGTCACTGGACTCAGTCATCACCATCTGAGGAGCTCGGCGAAAGCTCTGATGGGCTGGGAATGGAGGCCAGAATCATCTCTGCCCAGTGGAGCATACGCCTGCCATGGCAGTCTAGGGGGCTCTACCTCTTGCTGCTCCAGAGATCACGTGGCCTCCTTGCAACACGCATGCTGAGATAGCTCCTCCCACCCTACGCTATGCACCTGTCCTCTGTTTGACTAGAAGAACTACAAGCCACAATTACATAGACTTCAATATCCGTAAAAAAGCAATAATATGTCAACTAGTCAATTACAACTCAATATTAATCTATTACATAATTGCATGTAAATTATATTTGATGATGGATATGGGTGTAGGGTATCTGCGAAGAAATTCTTCCCAGTAGAGATACTTTGCCTTTCCTATAATTTCCAGTGGGATCCTACCCTCTGAGCAGCAAAGGTAAGATCAAGAAGTCTCAGAACAGACACAAATATTAAGATAAGAGACACAATCGCCACCTTCCCTGCCTCCTGCTTTGTCGTGTTTCTGTTGGGTCAGGTAGAAAGTCTTCTAATACTGCCAGCTATAACTTGGGTTGGGCATCTTTCTTTCTTCTTTTACACAAAAATAAATTCACATAGTGGTTCATGCCTCCATTTTCTTCTAAAAGGAAAGGAGGTGGAGTTGCAAATCTTGCTCTTTACACACACTTGCGTGATGTAGGGTGTCTGCAGAGCTCCCACGTGGATGAAGTGTTGAGAAGAGACCGAAGGGAAATTATAAGGAATTGGCTCACGCGATCATGGAGGTGACACGTCCCCAAGAGTTGCACCCGGCAAGCCGGACACCCAGGAGAGCCGATGTGTAGTTTCAGTCCAAGTCCGAAGGCCCGAGAACCAGGAAGGCCGGTGGTCTGAACTCCAGTGCAGAAGCCGGCAGGCACGAGAGCCGACAAGAGCCGATGTTTCAGTTCAAGTCTGAAGACAGGAAACAACTAGTATCCCAGCTGCAGTGGTGAGGTGGGGGGAGTTCTCTCTTCCTCAGGGCAGGGCCAGCCCTTCCATCCTACCCAGGCCTTTGGTGATGGGAGGAGGCCCTCCCGCACCAGGGGGGACAATCTGCTCTACTCAGTCGATTGACTTAGATATTAACTCAGCTGGAGCACCCTCACAGAAACACCCAGACTAATGTTGGGCCAAATATCTGGGCACCCTGTGGCCCAGTCAAGTTGGAACACAAAAGGAACCATCACAAGCACAGATGGCCCTACTTGGACTGATGATTTTCATTAGTACAAGAGAGCACCAGGCAGCGTGGGCAGGTGGCAGACATGTGCTCAGGGGTCAGGGGGACCCGGGTTCAAATACAACTGTGCCCCTCATGACACCATTGGCCTTAGTTGTCTCATTAGTAGAATGTAGACATTATGTATTGGGTAAAGTTCTAAGTTTAGATGAGATGATATCCAAAGCATCCACTAATCAGTAAATACTCAATAAAGGGTGGCCATTAGGATTCATACTAATAATCTTTGATGATGCTAATAAAATCTGATCTGGGATCTTTAACCTTGTCGGCTGTATTCTCTCCCATATACAGTTTAACTCGCCCTAAGATCATCCCGATCCCATAGCAAGCCTGACATTACCATTTCCAAATGCACCGCTTGGTTTCCCAAACTGCAGGGCATTGGATGCCTTTCTAGCCACTATCTTTGGTTGAAGGACAGGACCATTTTACCCACTATAGGCACAATATCTAGACCCTGTGAGATTTTCAAAGGCCAGTGAAAGTGTTTTATTTTTGGGAAAGAAAGTCTGGCTGCAAAATATAAAAAGAAAGCTGTAAAATTACAATTAAAAATATTTAATTCGGCCAGGCGCGGTGGCTCACGCCTGTAATCCTAGCACTCTAGGAGGCCGAGGTGGGAGGATCGCTCAAGGTCAGGAGTTCAAAACCAGCCTGAGCAAGTTCGAGACATCGTCTCTACTAAAAATAGAAAGAAATTAATTGGCCAACTAATATATATATATAGAAAGAAATTAGCCGGGCATGGTGGCGCATGCCTGTAGTCCCAGCTACTCGGGAGGCTGAGGCAGGAGGATTGCCTGAGCCCAGGAGTTGGAGGTTGCTGTAAGAAAGGTTGACACCATGGCACTCACTCTAGCCTGGGCAACAAAGTGAGACTTTCTCTCTCTCTCTCAAAAAAAAAGTTTAATTCAATAGCTACAAAAAGTAATCTCATGGCAACTAGTCAACGGCAACTGGACTCATCTATTAGAACATGGCGATTATGTTTGGTAATGGAAGTGGCTGCAGTTTGGGATGTCTGCTTAGATGTGGGCTGGGGCCTCCACGAGTGAGAATGCTTAGGGTCTAGGAAGCTCTGACAATGACCCTACCAGAGAATGGGAATGGGAATGCGTGCAAGCCAGTGGTGAAAAGCGAGTGGGAAACATT